CTCCCCTCCCCACGCGAGCCTTCGATGCATGCGAACAACATCTGAGAAAAGATCCCTTGCAGGGAATGGAAGTGAACCCTCTTATGCACAAAAGGGGATCAAGAAGAGAAAACTTTGTCTTTGAGTTTCTTTGATGATTACTTCTCTTTTCATCTTTTGGCAGTAACATATCTTCATTTCGTCATCGCCATCAATTTCGGTGTTGCACATTACGCGTCTGTCATGATTGGGCTCGGCGCACCAAAAATGATATTTTTTACGCCCAATATATATTTCTGTTATTATTACAGAATTTGTTCACATTGTGCCCATTCAGTATATTTCGTGTTGAACTTTTTTCGGTGCCTTCCATGTATGCCGTTATTGCCGAAAATGGGGGAGTGGGACCGCACGAACAATCGAAGCAGCACTTCTATACCAAACAGTATTTGCAAATAGTGCCAGGTCTCCATGAAAGTTGTAGGTATTGGCAGCATATCGTATCCATTACCCCAGGGGAATGATCCCCAGCGGCCATCCCTGCTATGCACAAGGGAAACGCTGAGGAAGGGATCACTCCCCTGGGAATCTCCACTCAGGAATGGCAAATCTGCTAATATTTGGCGTTTTCAAAGAAACTTATGTTAGGATAACAAGATAAAGACAGTATATCACATGATGTGATGGTTACAATGTGTTTCGATAAGCTTATAATGGTAAAACTATCATATCATATAAAAAGTGAGCTAATTTTGCATATGATCAGTATCACCTTTGACTATTCGATAAACGCAGATATACGCTTGGGTTTCCTCGCCGAAAGCGAATACAGAAGAAGAAGACAAAACCACGAGCTATGGGTTGCTGAGAGAGAAACAGGGCCTGCACCAGCTGACACGGGGTAAGCTGGATATCGTTTTTGGGCAAAAAGCAAAGGGGGTTTCGTTTTTGTGGGCGAAGATATACGCAAAATTGGCGACGGCCGACGGCGACCTTTTTAGTCGACGTTTCGTTTTTGGGTTTTTTAGGATTTTAGAGGGGACATCGTTGAGGATTAAAAGGGACTTCGTAAAAATTTCCAAAGGTCAAGGAGGACTTCGTTTTGAAAATTTCCTGGTGCCAGCTGGTGCCGAGCCCTGGAGAGAAACTCGGCTTTCAAAAAAATCTTTCATCAAACTAAGCGAAATGCTTCGTAATTATAGACTGAAACCAGTACATTCGCGTCTTTAGCCTGGCCTACACCCCAATTCCATTGTAAGGGATGTCGATCCCCTCCCCCGCGTTGTTGGGCTACATCCGTGCATACAGGGAGGGGAAGGGAAGGGATCTCCGCTGGGGTTTGTTCGATCGACACCTCTGAAGAAAAACTGAATTTGAAACAGCGAAAGAGTGCTGCAAAGGACTAACTGGCAAACGTTGAAAAAACCGCGAAAACTCGGAAAGCAGCACACTCACCATTTTTTTTTTTGTAAGAAAAATACACCGCCATAACATACGAGGAAATCATTACGTGGACTGCTAAAACACACTACTCAACATTACTACTATTGATAGCAAGTAACGGGTACAAAGAAGCTAAAACTAGCAATAGGGAATAGAAGAAATGCCCCCCCCCCCGGGTCCGCCACAGAAGAGTACTGATTTTGCTCGTCTCTGTCCCACTACCCTCTTCTCCTCTCTCGTCTTTCATTGTAATTATTTATCTTTCGCTCTCTTCTTCTATTCCCTATAGCTAGTTTTAGCTTCTTTGTACCCGTCAATGGGTCGCGAAATTTTTGAAAACTGCCTGTATGGGTTATAAAAATGTGCAAGCGACTTTTTTATTTTTGTAAATAATTAAAATAATTTTTAAAATTTTTTGAAAATTCAAATTAGTTCCATAAAAAAATTTTTCGGGGGCGTGGCGTCAGCCACGCCCCTTTTTCCCGGATTTTAAGGGTTGGAGACCCGCAAAAATTTTGAGAAGCACCCCAAAAAATCTATCGGAGTGCCTGGCTAACGCCACACCTTCATATGAAAAAATTTTCTGTCCCCCCCCTCCCGGTCCAAAATTCTGGGACCGCCACTGGTACTCTTATATCTTGTCCCGAAACCGTCTAATATCGGGTTGCTGCATTTCTGTCCGATTTGAATTTTTTTAGTTCAAAATGTTACAACTTCTTTTATCAACTTTTTTCCAAATTCTTAGTTTCGCTGTGTTGAGCTAATCCTTATATATCAAATACATATCGAAACCTTCGAAAATCCTTGTTATGGAGAAAGCACAAACTCAAAAACTTCACAGCGTTTCTTTTCAAACCTTTCCTCCTTGACCTGGCAATGCTCCGTTATGAGAATTGATAGGCATCCTACCCAACCATGGATAGATAGAGAAATTTTCGTAGGTTATTTTGCAATATAGAGGAGCCCATAGGGTCTGCGTTGCCAAGAGATTTTTTTTGACCGAACAAAAAAGAAGCCACTTTTTGACCTCGCTTCAGCGCATACCTTCGATAGTCAAGAGACAGAGCCTAGAAAGTGATCGTTGTTTGAGTTCTTGTCCCCTATAAAAAAGTGAAGGTTGTTTTAGAAAAAATAGATGGAAATTTAGAGATCTGATTTGAACTAGAAAACTCGAAAAATTTATATAAAACAGAGGCTAACACATCACCAAATTTAAAGCCTTATCTTGGTGGTTTCCTACGCACATTTTCGTCTTCAGAATTGCCGGTTACATTGGGGTGGCAACAGGAACAAAGTTCTTTTCTATTCAAAAAAGCGTAAGCTGTGGCGGTAGTTGAGAGACCGAAAGAAGGAAAACTTGTCAACAACTGAACTGAACATGTTAAACATGTCTGAAAAGTTATGCTGCACATCGACGCCAATCTGATTTTTGACGCGTCCTTTGAATTATCACCCCGCATGGTCGTTTCGTATCCTGCGACGTTGTCTGGATTCTTCCGCTCATCATTCTAAGCAAGTAACGTCCAAGCTGGAGAAAATTCGTTGCAAAAGCATTGAAATAGAACAAGGTAAAGAAAAACGCATTTTTTGGTAATTTTCACAAAAAATCGGCATAAGCAAAGAAGTAAGCTCGGCGACGTTATCTACATCATAGAACAGAAACAAGACCTATCGAATACACAAAAAACCGAGTGAAAAGAGTTGAAGTGAAGAAAAATCAAGAGGTTTTCGAAAACTCCGTTTTTCCAATATTTCTCGTTTAGATCATAAAAAGGAGTCTTGCGACGTTATCAGCGTGAAAATAGAGATTAAGAGCTTTAATATGATATGTAGATTGTCGGAACTGAGCTCTCAACAACGAAGAAAAGGGTACCAGAGCCAAGTGCCCCGCGCCCCGCTTTTGGGGTAGCGAGGGAGCGCGCAACTCGCGGAGACGCAGACGAGCAGCGGAGACAGACCAGAGCCGGCTGGGCATTTGGCTCTGGTCATTGATCTCCGCGGGATCATAACGAAACCATGTAACATTATATATCGTTGTGATCCTCATGAGACGTCCAGGAGCACTGACAACGTCGCGGGTCTTGAAAATCACTCCATAACGAGAAGATCCATTCAAGTAGCGACTCTCTGCGCAAGATTTGAGCGCAGTTTCTCGTTTCTATTAAGCTCCAGCGGCTTCATGAACTTCCAACGCTCAATCGAAGTCTAGAGAAATATTAATTGAGGAATTTCGCTCCATTTTCTAATTGAATTTTTGAATAAAAGTCTTTTGGCAAAAAAGGACCATAAAAACGTAATCATTCGGTTTTTTGAGCTTTTTTTGGATGTCACTACTATATTTACCTCATTCACATCTCTCCCTATATGGATAGATATGTCATTAGTTATGCCATGATATCCGAAACTTCGCCCCGTATGACTTCCCTCTAGGTGAAGGTTGTGTTCTATCATGACGCTCAAAGTGAAGGTCACCAGAGTACGTAGCTCTATGTATCGAAGGTATGCTTCAGCGCATGTGTGCAGGCCTATTTACGAGTTATAAAAATTTTACAATAGTCTTAAGCGCCAAAAAGAAATTGGTGGATGGGCCCCTTGCTAGCCTTTGCTTTACCCTAGCACCTCTAACTTTGAAGTCGTCGATTACTTCTATTCGCAGAAAGTTAATGCTCGTAAAACATTTATACAGAAAATTAATTTTTGGCAATATTAGGTTGGCACATAAGTTTTGCAACTTATTTTGTAACTTTTCTCTTTTTGACTGTGACCCATTCATTTTTTAGCATAATGTAGACTTGATGGTAGGCCACAAATCTGCGCAAACAGTTTGATTTTTGGTTTCGAGCTGGAGAAAATTTGCTCATTTTTCGAAAGCTGGGCAAAACCGAAATTTCAAGGATCGGAAAACCAAAAATAAAGCCGTATTCAGTCTGAATCAAACATATCGAGCCGAAACTATGCCCAGACTATTGATAGAGGAAACTTTGTCCATCTACACAGTTTTGGCTTGTTTTGTTTGATTCAGACTGAGAACGGCTCATTAATGTTTTCCGACCCATGAAATTTCTGATTCGACCAGTTTCCGAAAAATGAGTAAATTTTCTCCATTTCGCTACCGAAAACCAAACTGTTTGCGCAGGTTTGTAGCCTAGTATCTAATCTACATTGTGCCCAAAAATGATTGCCTCGCAGTCAAAAAGAAAAAAGTTACGAAATAAGTTGCAAAACTTATGTGCCAACCTATTAAATTTTACTAGCAAGATGTTTTCTTCATAAATTTGAAGTTATGCGTATGCTAGCCTGTTTCACCCTTATTCCGCCGTACCCATATCCCCTTCGCCCTGGAGAGGCGGGACTATGTCCCCCTTCTCCCTGGAGAGGCCATTTCCCCTTTTGCACTCATATGCCTTCGATAATCCTTTCAGGGTTCTTGAAGACATGTTTCGAATTTTTTCTAAAATACTACCATTTCGGAGGATACGAACCACGGGTCGTAAATTTGAAAAAGATTCCGGTTCGAAATGGCAGTAATTGAAAGACTGGCATTATCGTGAATGTATGGAATAGTAAAACTTTTCCAGGGCAGAGAGGTGGACAAGGAATACCGCAAGCTATGCCAAGAAATCATTGACCAAGTTGGTGATCGCTTCGTCTCTGCAGAAAAGTACAACTCCTGAAACATCGACTTGTTGCCAGCGATAATCACACCACCCCACTCACTCCTTCTACCATGACTTCCGGTGGTTACGGCCGTCCATCGTTACTTTCTTTGAGCTGTCGCCTTTCGATAGGATCGTTGCCTGCTGAATCACCATTTTGTATCGCTCCTGAAGTGTCTGAGTTTATTTGTTTATTTTTTTATTTATTTTCTTCCAGGCATCTTATATATAAAGCTGAATGTCTGTTTGTATGTCTGTATGTCTGTCTGTGTGCACGTATATTCCGAATAGAAAATTCCATTTCTGAACCGATCGGGACCAAACTTAGCACATATACACATCGGGGCCCGGCGGGTATCATGGGCTACTTTTCGTCATCGATCGATATCGATTTTATCGATTTTTTTGCAAAATTTGAGCTACGGGGCTGGAAGATGGCACAGGGGGGGGGGTAATTGAGCATGCTGCCCCTAGCTCAAATTTTGCAAAAAATCGATAAAATCGACATCGATCGATAACGAAAAGTGGACTGTGACCCCGATGGGGCCTGAAGTGTATGTGTGCCAAATTTGGTCCGGATCGGTTGAGAAATGGAATTTTCTATTTGGAACATACGGCGGAGCCGGGTAAGCCAGCTAGTTCCTTATAAAGACAAAAATACACAGTTACTCATACTCTAATACCACGATAATTCATCATGTAGTTTGGGTCTAAGCATTCGGACTAGATTATTGGAAGTGTGATGAAAGCCTGTTTGTGACTGCTCTAAGACTGTAGTCAACAGAACTGAATTAGTGTGTTTCATGGAAGTGGTACCTATGGCCCTTTTTTGCCAGCAAAACAATTTTGATCCAAGCAAGCAAACGGTTTGATGGTTGATAAACTGTCTAATCTCACCAAACCAGTATGCCGAGGAGAGTACAGTGACTCTAATGGATAGCAGTAAGGATTGTAGAGAATGAATAGCTGATATGTGAATAAGATCATATTAAGCTAGTGTAATCTATGGGATGGTAATCATACCAACTCGTTTGCCAGCAGAAAATGCTCTTGATAAAATAAGCAAAGCGGGGCTCGGTTGATGGAATAGTAGTACTAAAGAACCTCGCCCAAATGATTCCGAAGAGAGCCCAATGCCTCCGGGAGAATATGAATGAGTTTCACTTTTTTGTGTATTAACTAGAGCAATTCAACAAGCTGTACTGATAGAAAAGGGCAAATTGTTTAGACCTGAACTGCCATAATGATAAAACATGGATTAGGATTAGTAAGACATGTAAAAAGAAAATGCCACTAAGAAAAAACACAAGTTAAAGTCGTATTGGAAATTGAGTTTGTAGTTTAAAAACTCCGTGCACTCGAGTTGAGTGAAACGCATAAATAAAGGCAGGACGAGCAGTGATCATGAAGAAGTTAGGATGACCATATGAATGAACTGAAGAGCGCCATTTCACAGTGCAATAGCATAGGTGTAGTAGCACCAAAGAGAAAAGCGGTAACTGTAATAGAAGTTTGAAACTTAGTCTAAAAGTTCAATGATAAAAACTGAGTGTCAGTTCTCAACAACTTAGTCCTGAAGGAGCTTGAGTTCAGCGAACACATTACTTCCATAGGCAACTGCTGAAACCATTTGGCAGATCTGCAAAATATGTTATTCTACATTTCGAAAAAATATTTTTTTTTATTTTTAGGTAGTGCAAGTGAACTGTAGCATCAACGGCATCGTTTGCCATCGTTTGCCAGCGAATTTGCATAGCAACACACGAGCTGTAGCATCAATGGCAATCGTTTGCCAGTCTGTATGCGCAGCTACACACGAGCTGTAGCATCAACGGCATCGTTTGCCATCGTTTGCCAGCGGATTCTTAAAGCAACACACGAACTGTAGCATCAACGGCATCGTTTGCCATCGTTTGCCAGCGGATTCTTAAAGCAACACACGAACTGTAGCATCAACGGCATCGTTTGCCATCGTTTGCCAGCGAATTCCGAAAGCAGCACACGAGCTGTAGCATCAAAGGCATCGTTTGCCATCGTTTGCCAGCGAATTCGCATAGCAGCACACGAGCTGTAGCATCAAAGGCATCGTTTGCCATCGTTTGCCAGCGAATTCGGACAGCCACACACGAGCTGTTGCATCAGTGGCAATTGTTTGCCAGCGAATTCGGACAGCGGCGCACGAGCTGTAGCATCAAAGGCATCGTTTGCCATCGTTTGCCAGCGAATTCGCATAGCAGCACACGAGCTGTAGCATCAAAGGCATCGTTTGCCATCGTTTGCCAGCGAATTCGGAAAGCAACACACGAACTGTAGCATCAACGGCATCGTTTGCCATCGTTTGCCAGTGGATTCTTAAAGCAACACACGAGCTGTAGCATCAACGGCATCGTTTACCATCGTTTGCCAGCGAATTCGGAAAGCAACACACGAGCTGTAGCATCAAAGGCATCGTTTACCATCGTTTGCCAGCGAATTCGGAAAGCAACACACGAGCTGTAGCATCAACGGCATCGTTTGCCATTGTTTGCCAGCGAATTCGGAAAGCAACACACGAACTGTAGCATCAACGGCATCGTTTGCCATCGTTTGCCAGCGGATTCTTAAAGCAACACACGAGCTGTAGCATCAACGGCATCGTTTACCATCGTTTGCCAGCGAATTCGGAAAGCAACACACGAACTGTAGCATCAACGGCATCGTTTGCCATCGTTTGCCAGCGGATTCTTAAAGCAACTCACGAGCTGTAGCATCAACGGCATCGTTTGCCATTGTTTGCCAGCGAATTCGGAAAGCAACACACGAACTGTAGCATCAAAGGCATCGTTTGCCATCGTTTGCCAGCGGATTCTTAAAGCAACACACGAGCTGTAGCATCAACGGCATCGTTTACCATCGTTTGCCAGCGAATTCGGAAAGCAACACACGAACTGTAGCATCAACGGCATCGTTTGCCATCGTTTGTCAGCGTACTCGCACCGCTACACACGAGCTGTAGCATCAAAGGCATCGTTTACCATCGTTTGCCAGCGAATTCCGAAAGCAACACACGAACTGTAGCATCAACGGCATCGTTTGCCATCGTTAGCCAGCGAATTCGGACAGCAGCACACGAGCTCTAGCATCAGTGGCAATTGTTTGCCAGCGAATTCGGACAGCGGCACACGAGCTGTAGCATCAAAGGCATCGTTTGCCATCGTTTGCCAGCGAAATCCGAAAGCAGCACACGAAGTGTAGCATCAACGGCATCGTTTGCCATCGTTTGCCAGCGGATTCTTAAAGCAACACACGAGCTGTAGCATCAACGGCATCGTTTACCATCGTTTGCCAGCGAATTCGGAAAGCAACACACGAACTGTAGCATCAAAGGCATCGTTTACCATCGTTTGCCAGCGAATTCGGAAAACAACACACGAACTGTAGCATCAAAGGCATCGTTTACCATCGTTTGCCAGCGAATTCCGAAAGCAACACACGAACTGTAGCATCAACGGCATCGTTTGCCATCGTTAGCCAGCGAATTCGGACAGCAGCACACGAGCTCTAGCATCAGTGGCAATTGTTTGCCAGCGAATTCGGACAGCGGCACACGAGCTGTAGCATCAAAGGCATCGTTTGCCATCGTTTGCCAGCGAAATCCGAAAGCAGCACACGAACTGTAGCATCAACGGCATCGTTTGCCATCGTTTGCCAGCGGATTCTTAAAGCAACACACGAGCTGTAGCATCAACGGCATCGTTTACCATCGTTTGCCAGCGAATTCGGAAAGCAACACACGAACTGTAGCATCAAAGGCATCGTTTACCATCGTTTGCCAGCGAATTCGGAAAACAACACACGAACTGTAGCATCAACGGCATCGTTTGCCATCGTTTGTCAGCGTACTCGCACCGCTACACACGAGCTGTAGCATCAAAGGCATCGTTTACCATCGTTTGCCAGCGAATTCCGAAAGCAACACACGAACTGTAGCATCAACGGCATCGTTTGCCATTGTTTGCCAGCGAATTCGGACAGCCACACACGAGCTGTTGCATCAGTGGCAACGTTTGCCATCGTTTGCTAGCGGATTCGTAAAGCAACACACGAACTGTAGCATCAACGGCATCGTTTGCCATCGTTTGCCAGCGAATTCGCATAGCAACACACGAGCTGTAGCATCAAAGGCATCGTTTACCATCGTTTGCCAGCGAATTCGGAAAGCAACACACGAACTGTAGCATCAGCGGCATCGTTTGCCATCGGTTGCCAGCGGATTCTTAAAGCAACACACGAACTGTAGCATCAACGGCATCGTTTGCCATCGTTTGCCAGCGGATTCTTAAAGCAACACACGAGCTGTAGCATCAACGGCATCGTTTACCATCGTTTGCCAGCGAATTCGGAAAGCAACACACGAACTGTAGCATCAAAGGCATCGTTTACCATCGTTTGCCAGCGAATTCGGAAAACAACACACGAACTGTAGCATCAACGGCATCGTTTGCCATCGTTTGTCAGCGTACTCGCACCGCTACACACGAGCTGTAGCATCAAAGGCATCGTTTACCATCGTTTGCCAGCGAATTCGGACAGCGGCACACGAGCTGTAGCATCAAAGGCATCGTTTGCCATCGTTTGCCAGCGAATTCGCATAGCAGCACACGAGCTGTAGCATCAAAGGCATCGTTTGCCATCGTTTGCCAGCGAATTCGGAAAGCAACACACGAACTGTAGCATCAACGGCATCGTTTGCCATCGTTTGCCAGTGGATTCTTAAAGCAACACACGAGCTGTAGCATCAACGGCATCGTTTACCATCGTTTGCCAGCGAATTCGGAAAGCAACACACGAGCTGTAGCATCAACGGCATCGTTTACCATCGTTTGCCAGCGAATTCGGAAAGCAACACACGAACTGTAGCATCAACGGCATCGTTTGCCATCGTTTGCCAGCGAATTCAGACAGCCACTCACGAACTGTAGCATCAACGGCATCGTTTGCCATTGTTTGCCAGCGAATTCGGAAAGCAACACACGAAC